GTGCGTGCGTGCGTGCGTGAGACAAGAAAACTAAAGTACCTCCAGATCTTGCTAATGTCTGTCATGAAAAGAGTTCATTCCCTGAGTTAGGATGATTAAGTTCACTCTAAAGTGTATTCCACTTCCTTTTCACTTTATTTTTTACTACAAACCGCCTCCCTCACTCATCCATTCTTCATAAATCAGAGTTTATTTTTTGTAAATCCAGAGCTGAACTGTGATCCCAAACTTTCTCCTTACACTAACAAACCAGAAATCTATTTTTTATTGATCAACAGAGATCAGGGGAAATGCAGCAGTGATGGTGTCTTGGCCATTTTGTGGGCATTTCTATTTTCTTTTTGGACATGTTTGCCAAGTTAGTAAGGGCATTTATATAAGATATTTCACAAATCTGCCAACTAAATCGTTACCAAACAATTTGTTCACCAACATGTTTGTAAAGGTGTGTAATAACATGCCTTAAAATGTTGAAATTCAACTCCCATGGGAAACCCTGAAAAAACCTGCTCAAGTTAGGGTACTGATAAATGATTGTTGAAATATTGATTTTTTTAAAATCGGGCCTTAAGTAGCTTATGAGGGGTCAAATCAGGGTTTTTTCATGATTCTGAGTTGATTGTTATCATGAATATTTCACCACAAACACTCCATTGTTGAAAAAGGCCACACTTACTTTTACATTTACATCAAAGTAGCTTTTATTTCACATCCTTATATAATACTACAGAGCATGTCTCTGAAGCCCAGTGACTATGGATAGACATTAGGTGTGCATGAGTATGAGCCAGTTCCAACACTAGACCCCATGGCTCCTGAAGAACTACTGAAGTTAACAAGCTGTAATTGTCATGGACACTGCAGCAGCCAGCAGTGCAGCTGCAAGAAGAATGGGGTCACGAGCATCTCGGTCTGTGGAGTCTGTAAAGGCATTACATACAGAAACTGCAATCATGATGTTGTTGAGTCTGAAGAAGACATAGACAATGACTCTTGAAGCTTCTGACATTGTGAATGACAAATAACTCTGAGTATTATGTAAGTATGTGAAATAAAAGCGATCTTCTTTTTTGATTCAAATTCCGTACAAGCTTGAGGGTACAGTGATCAAGTGATGCCCTTTCATTGCTAAAAGGTCAAAGGTCACCTTCAATGTGACGTCATAGTGTTCTTATTTAACACCATAACTCAGGAACACGAGTTGTGAATGTGACCATATTTTTCATTTGATTGGATACTGAGCTGAGGACACGAATCTTTGGTTCCACCTTGAAACTGCGGTGACTGTATAGATTGAAAATGTGTGTAAAGTGTTCACGTTTCAGAATTTTAAATTTATTTCCAGCAACATCCGGTGTCTCTAAGTGAAGACAGAACATTTCTCAGTGGAAATTATCGTTTGGAATCACATGTCAATATAGTGTCTTTGATTTTGCCAAAAAGTACACGTAAGAGCTTTTATTAAATTCCTTAAGTCTTAAATCAGTCTTTACCACATTTATGAGTCTGGATGGACAGACATGGATATGAACTGCAACTTGACTGGTTGGCGGAGGCATGAGGTGATAGTTCCAGTTGAATTCTGTGTCAGGTTTGATCAAATTCAGCAGCTGTGGTGCTACAATTGGTTAACAACTGCAATAACAAATCATTGTGACTCGGTAATGTTCTGATTTGTGATGGGTCTTGTCTCCATAGCAATGGTACCCAAGGCTCTTGGGGGTTGTCATATCACAACAATCAACCAAAACATGATTTCTCAAAGACAAAGCTGAAATAATTGAAGCAGGTGGTTACAACCTGATCCATATTTCCCATATAGCCGCATTATAATATTGTTGAAAGACAGTATCTGTAATCTCCCCTCAGATCATATGTAAAAGATGAATATAGCCACTGTAACACTTATTTGTTTGAGGACTACCATTTTGAAGCCTTTAGTTTGGTATTTGATCATTGCCATCTTGGTCTCTCTGACTGAGAAATCGAGTATATGGCAGTGACCTGTCAATCACAAGCTACTGAATGTGCTGCAGAGCTTGTAATGGAGTCACTGGACAGACCTACTTTAAGCCACAATGATGGAGCTGTTGGTCAGAAACTGTTGTGGTCAAAAAAGCCTGTAGATATAAACTGCATAATTACTACAAATATTAAGTGCCAATAAAAGAAGTTGTTACCTCATAGTCATTCATTAGGTCTGTCCTCTGATGTCTTTTTTCTCCGTGTACACAGAAAGCTGATCAGCACCGTTAGCTGGGTTAACACCAGTAGACTGTTTCACTGGAGCTGTTGGTGTTTGCGTGTCTGGATCAGCAAATTATGGAATTTCAATAATTACTCTGCAGTTTATTTTGCTACCACATAAAGCAAGTTTAATTATTAAAGATTAATTACCAAAATCCACTCTATGTTGCCATTGTAGATCAATATAATATTGATTAATGATAATACGCTTCTCCGCCTGTGTTTTACCTGAGGTGTTTAGCCTTCGAGCATTTAATCAGCACTCAACATTGTGTTCCACTCAGACTATAAATCAGACCTCTTACTGCTGTTCTGGCATGTGGGAAAACACTACAGCTGCAGTATTTACTCGCAGCTTGTTCATTACTGTTTAGAACTTGTCTTAACAACACTAAATATTCATTTACCAAGAGAATTTACATCACCGCACACTGTTTATCCACTGTTCAACAACTAAAGCACTGGTCTAAAATGTGAGACAATCACTGCATAAACCTTTGTTTCCTGTTCCCTGATGTAGTTGTTTCATTCTTTGGGGTTTTTCAGATATAGATGAGTGCCAGGATCAGCGAGTGTGTACCAGAGGCCACTGCCAGAACACTGAAGGCTCCTTTATTTGTCATTGTGGGCCAGGCTTCAGAGCGTCGCCAACTGGAGACCAATGTGACGGTATGATATTTAGTACTATCAGCACTGTGCACGCAAATAAAACATATATTTATATTACATCATGGCAGGCATGCGCTTCCAATGATTCATAAAAATCTTGATTTTCTGTGATGGATTTATTGAAACACGTGTCCTTGTCACAAAAATGTCCTTGTCATAAATTTATTGTAGGTCATATAGAAATATGGCAAAATGTGCTGGCTCTAAAATATACAAACAACAATGCTAATATTTACTAAAGTATCCCTTGGCCATTTCCACCTCGATTAGGCACTTTTGGTAGTTTCTGGTCATATCTTTGAATGCTCCTCTTGACAGATTTGGTGCGGTTCAACTAAATTTGTTGGCTTTCTGACACAGACTTGTTTCTTCATCACAGCTCACTGAATCTTGATGGGGTTTAAGCAGGACTTTGGGAAAGCCAGTCTAAAACCTTAATTCTAGCCTGATTTAGTCATTTCTTTAACACTTTCGATCAGTGTTTGGGGTCATTGTTCTATTGAAAGACCTGATGATTTTAGGTTTTCCTACAGGAAAACCTAAAACCATCCTCCTTCATTATTATGTCATTTACTAGATATAGTGTCCTTGGGGTTAAGGACCTCACCTTCTTTCCTTCAAACATGTTTCTGGCCATTGTGGTCAAATAGGTGAATTTTAGTTTTATTTGACCACAGTGCGTGTGAGCCTGGCGAGTGCATCAAATGAGCCCTGTATGAAGTGGCTCAGAGAAGTCAGCAGTCAATCGCAATCACTGACAAGATGTTAAGAGGTCATTCTACCAAGAAAACGCAACTGTCTACATCACCAACACTGATAATTCAAGTTGTATGTATATTTTTGACCCAGCACAGATACATATAATACCTATAGTAAATCTATGAAAAAACCCAAAAAGCATCAATGTTTCTTGTGACAAAGACGCGTGGGGGATTCCATCATAGAAAATTCTAAGTTATAGGAGTCACTGGAAATGACAAAATCAAACCGGAAATATCTAGGCCCTTCATTGTGATCATATAATTGTGACTGTTTGACTAAATTAGACCAAGAACTCTCTGCTGACTTTTGTTATAAAATATTGGCAAGGCACATATCAAGGAAAGACTATAAAACCTCTTCTAAAGCTTTGATTGTTCACAGGAAAACAATCATCTCAATAATTGTGAAATGAAATAAAAATCCCTACAGTGAAACCTGGTAGAGGCAGCATTGTGGTATGGGGGGGCTTCGTAGCAGCAGGGACAATGAGAGTGGTCAGAACTGGGGAACGAAAGCAGGCAAATACAGAGAGGTCCTTGAGGGAAACCTCCTTGCAGAAAGCAGTGATGGTTCACCAGAGTGATCCAAAGCAAAGAGCCAAGACAAAACTGGAGTGTCTTTAGGACAAGTCTTCACTGACCTTCAGTGTCCCAGCCAAAGCCTCGACTGAAACCCCACAGAGCCTCTGTGGTGTTACCTGAAGTTGGCATAACACAGAAGCTTGATCTGCAGTAAGAAAGAAGTAAACTGCCCAAATCCAGGTATACAAAGCCTCTGCATCAAGTAGGTGTTAAGACTACCACAGTGGCTTCAAAAAAGTCAAGGTCTAAGTATCTGAAGACTTTCGTTTTAGTTTTTAAGAAAAATGCTGGGAAAAGAGGCAGTTTTAGTCCATTTAGAATTAGGTCAAGAACATAATGAAGCGTTCAAAAAGTGGAGAAGTCTGAACACATATTTATGTATTTACATGCACAACATGCCACTTAGTATGTTCTGCATAAAAACAAATAGTATTTGCACAGCAGTAAACCTGTGATAAATGTATTGATAGAAGATATTTAGGTTAAAGAAAACAAAATACAAGGTAATCAGTGTGTATGCATACTTTGCTTTTTATGTTTATATAAAGAACACAATATACTGGAGTCAAAACCTCAGATGTCAGTGTGCGATTATGGCACATGTTTCCCCTCCAGTCTAACACACTAAACACCAGCTGTAAGGAAATAGCGCCCGCCATCATGTGGCACTTTTGTTAGATTACGTGTGTTACTGCCCTTTCAGTGTCAAGGTTTGTTGCAGATGTTATGCATCAAAACATGCCTGTGCTGTTTTATTGCTTCAGTGAATTGCTGGTAGAACACGTGTTTAAATTAAAATCCCTGATCGCTGATTGAGCCCCTAAAAATCTGTGTATCAAAGGTTTTCCATGAAAATAATCCCTTTCTACCTAAAGTGGCTTAGACGTAACTTTACACCACCGCTTCTTCAACAATGAGCAGATCTGTGTAGTTCTCTGTCAGCACTCACCCCTCCCAACTCAGGACAGCTCGTGCTCATTAGTTGCGACCTACAACCCTGCTCCATCACTGTAAAACTAGTTATAATGCTGGAGCAGTATAGCCTATGTGACAGAAAGTTCCACCCTGCAAGTTAACAGGATTGGTTCCTCAGGTTTGTTACTTCTGAAACCCTGGAAGTCTGAATCTGTGTTTTTGAGGACATCGTCTGTACGCTGCAGTTTCAAAGGGAAAATACTCAGCCATGGTGTCGACTACTTATGTGTCTACCAGCATTTGGAGGACAACCATATGGACATGATGAAAAAGTTTAAAATAATTACTTTTAGCAGAGGAGGACCCAGTGTTATATGAATCACTGATCAGCAGCACTGCAGTTTGTGAATCTGTCCTAATGGCCACTAGAGGGCAGATGTTTACCCATGAGCAACGTGTCTTCAGTGTGTTATTGCATCTGTTGTAGGAATATAATTACCTACGTTTTGAGACCAAATTAAGGTTTGAATTGAACGACCAGTTCTTGAACAATCATCAGCAGCACTGTTCAGACTAAATGATATGTTAATTTTATGCAGTTGCTCTTTATCGTCGTGCAAACAGGTAACAATTGGATACTATCAAGTGTTTTACGTCACAGGAACAAGTATACAGAATCAGCATCCTGTGAGACTGTCACTCACAGCAAGAAACGGTGTTGCACATAAAGCTTCATTCATTCAAAATTACAAACAGAATGAACTGACTTCAGAAATCAAAGACTAAAGAGTGAGTTTTCATCAGACATTATGTATTTGTCTCTACACTTTAACTTTTGCCTTTCCAATTACTTTTATAGTCCTGTTGCATTTCAGTTACTGGAATGCTTGATAAAAATGTTCATGGCTCTGCTGGTGCTTTTGTGTATCAAGTGTCACATTAATGGTAAATTACAAATACCGATATTCATATTGATTAAACTGTCACATAACCCCCTAAAGGAGAAACAAATGATTGTACCAGTTTTACTCAAAAATATAATTTAAGCCAAAAATCTACCCATGAATACATTTGCATAATTTAGTGCTACTTATAACTATTTTATTTACCAGTATAATCATAACATACTTACTTCTCCGACATGAGTTTTTAACAGAACAATGAATTTTGTGTGTTTATGCCCCAGATGTGAATGAGTGCGTCGAGGAAGCCAGACCATGTGAGCCAGTCGGGGAGTGTGCCAACAACATGGGCTCGTACACCTGTATCTGCCCCCAGGGGTACCGACAGATCAACGGCACCAGCTGCAGAGGTGAGTGCTTGAGCAGACACACTCTCAAGGCCTGTTTCTGATCCAGGATGTAGACATTCTAGAGTCCCCGTGCTTGAGAAACACACAGACTCATACACATCTCTCAGTGGGTTTGTGTCTGTGTCGTCCCAGATGTCGATGAGTGTATGGAGGAAGCAGAGCTCTGTTCCCCCCATGGCAAGTGCCTCAACACTGACGGGTCCTATGTGTGTGTGTGTGACAGTGGATTCACTGCCAACCTCGACACGCCCTCCTGTGACGGTAAGTTGCAACTACAGAGACAAGATGCACACACAGACACACACACACACACACACACACACACACACACACACACACACACACGTAGTTGAATCTTGCTCTTGACACATACTCTTGTATGACTTATATTAATCATTTATGTATACAAGTAAATTTGATATAAAACAAATCACACAAAAACATACTGTGTTCAGAATAAATCCCCCTGTAGTTTTCATTTAACCATTGATCAGTAGTACACAGGATAGCTTTGTCTTACCTTTAAAGGATGAGGCTGACGTTATTATCGGTCTTATTTTCAACAGATCCCATGAAACGTTCAAAACCAACATGTCACCATCGTAGTTTTTTCCTGTAGTTTTCAGGAAACATTTCTCAAACTGTGGATCTGTTTTGGATTATTTTCTGTGGTGGATTAATACAGACTTTGTGCATTTTTTAATGTTAATGTGAGTCTAAAAGTCACAGTAAGTCAAAATAAGTTGACTTTTCCTCTCAACCCACCAGCAGAGCAGTGTTTATTTAGTCTGTGAGACATCTGAACATCTGCTTTCAAACTGGGAGAAACTGTGAACCTCGTGGTTCTCAGAAAATGAATGGTGCTGCACTTGGTGATCCTGTGAAATTTCATGCTAAACTAAAATGACAAACAAATTAACCACTATAACTGCTGAACATCACCATGTTAGTGGTCATTGTGAGCATTTTAGCATGCTGTGTAAGCATTTAGCTGTGCCTGATGCTGCATTTAGACAACTCAGAATTTGAAAATGTCCTTCTACTTTGAAAAAAACACAAGTCTGGCTCTCAAAGTTAGAGGCTGCTTTAAATGGTGTTTGCTGCCAGTGAGAAAAATGTAGCATATCTGTAGTCTTACCTTTCAAGTCCTTCAAAGCTATGTGGATTCATTTTGGAAGTCTCAGAGTTACAATGAAATTTCTTTAATGTACCAGCCTACATTAAAGTAACATCACTGATTCTGTCGGTGTTCAGCTTGTGGTTTGTCAGAAGTACTTGTTGGATGTTTCAAACTGGTTCAGAAGCCTGATCGTCCTACACGTTCTGAGTGAGAAGAGCCAAGCTTTAAAAACATCTGCTCATTCGTTTTTGTTTTTTTGTTTTTGTTTATATATATATATATATATATTATACTGTTGTATACATTGCAGACAGAACATATGGAAACGTAGTGGGTAAAAAAGTGTAAGAAGTGTAAGTTATGTTTTTATTTTGAATTCTTCGTGCTCGTCTCTTTTTACTTTGATAACAGCTTTATACAGTCTTGGCCTCCTCTCAACCAGCGTCATAAGTTGGTTTTTCCAACAATCTTGAAGGAGTTCCCACATATGTCGGCTGCTTTTCCTTCACTTTCTGTTCCAACTCATTCCAAACCATCTCCGTCGGGTTTAGGCTGGGTGATTTTGAAGGCCAGGTCCTCTGATGCAGCACATCTTGGTCCTCGTTACCAAGGGCGGTTCTCATGACAGCCACTTTCATCATAGCATACAATGGTTTTTGCAAATTAAATATTCTCTGAACTGACTGACCTTTGGCAACTTTCCAGTGCAAGGACTTCTTACAGGAACAACCCTCTAATGTGCCCTTTTAGCCTCTCTGTTTCCATTATAGTGTAGGGCCCAACAGATTCACTGATGTTGTTAATGCAGTGTGCCTCAAAACAACTAGTAGTAGTTATACCGAATATAACTCCATTCATTGAACTTGTGGGAAATACAACAATAGAGGTTTGTTATGGTGCACATGTGGTGATCTTTAAGTGTTGGTGATGTTCAAGAGAGGAAGGCTACCAATGGACAAGGACATTGACAGGGCAGAGAAAATGTGTCCTTTCTGAGTTAACCAATCAGCACTGAAACCTGCACAGCAGCTTGTTGTTGCTGCTCATTTTTTTGTACTCTGAAAAAACCCTTCACAAAGGTTTTGGCCTCCTGAAAACCAAAGTAACAATCATCATAAAATATTTTGCTCTATTACTTATTTCCAAGCATGTTATTTCATAGTTTTATATATATCATAATATAAATATCAGTTTCTTATTACTCTGTCTGAGACAGGTGGCTCTTCTCATATAGTACATATGTAATGGTAGCAGGAGGACTTGTTTATTATTGTTACCTAGCGGTATACAGCTAAATGGAATATAAGTGGTACATATATGTTCTGTGCACATGATGCAATGTGTATTCTGTATTCCATGGAGCTGCTGTGTAACTCACTGAGAACAGAACCATTCCTCCAAACTATATACATAGGATCAGGACATTCCACAGCTGTCATTACCATCAAATGACTATTTAGAGAGATATAGAGAGGGCCTCTTAGTGCGAGGGAGAAATGTTTTAACATCTTTCACACAAACACAGAACGGCTTTATTGTAGATAGACACTGTTTCCATATCATCATCATGATGTCCCTCTTCAAAATGTAAGCACGACTCTAACATAGCCACATGGTTATTTAGAATCTCCTTTTGTCACCATGTCTACCCTTATCACCATCCCCATACAGCCCTCGTTATTCCTTCATCACAGAAAGAGAAGGAAAAACTCCACAGTTTCTTTTACACACACGGCTCCTACTTTCTGCACCCTGACAGGAGTCTTGGCCTCTGTGCCAGAGCTGTTTTTAATGCCCTCTGCTGCTTTAGAAAAACAGAGAGAAAAGAAAAAAAAAAACAAGAGTAAAAGACAGACGGAAGCCTTTGAGCTGACTGTCTAGACAAGGAGGGATATTTGTTGCTCTCTGCCTCATGATTTATGCAGCGTATTCAGACTCTAGTGGAAATGTGTGTGTGTGTGTGCGTGTGTGTGTGTGTGTGTGTGTGTGTGTCTGCTTTCATGAAACCAATTAAAGCACTTTTTTTTTTACAACAGCTGCTTCAATTGCAGTCTGTCATTATTCAGTTAAATCCATTGCATTCAATTTTCACCTTTCATGTTATTTCCTTAATCTGTTTGGAAGGAAATAAAGGAAACCACTGGAGAAGTGTGTTTAGTGCTCTGTGTGTGTGTGTGTGTGTGTGTGTGTGTGTGTGTGTGTGTGTCAACAGTCTACAGTTATTTGAAAGATTTTTGTACACCAAAGTGCAGTTTGAAGTGAAATTTTGGTCAATAGGATAAGATATTATACAGAAAAGGCAATACTGATGCTCCTCCACAGCGTGTTAGAAATGACAAGGAGCAATAAATCACTAAATGAGAAAACATTTGACATGTTCTGGCTTTGTTTGTTTCACTGTCAGATATTGATGAGTGTGGCCTCAATGAGACGCTGTGCGGTCCCCATGGCTTCTGTGAGAACAGACTGGGTTCGTTCCGATGTCTCTGTGACCAGGGCTACCAGGAGACCCAGGATGGCCAAAGCTGTGTGGGTAAGTGTGGGAGTTTTGGTATGTGTCTATATCGAATTTTACTGATGGTTTATACAGTATACAGTACCAGTCAAAAGTTCAGGTGGATATTTTTATTCTTAATTTGTGCTATCTTCCTCAAACACATAAAAACTATTAAATATCACATGGAATTATGTAGTTTTAAAAAAGTATTTAAAAAATTATATTTTGTTTTAGATTCCTCAAGGTAGCCAATATTTGCCGCATATTTTGACAGCCTTTCCCACTGTTGTCATTGTGTTCACCACCTTCATGATGTCGTCACCTAGCATGGTTTGCAGTTAACTGGTGAGCAATGTCAAAAGTTCAGTGGTGGAAAATCTTGCCTTCCTAATGTTTGGGACCTATAGTTAGTGTCGGCGTACAGTAAACAGCCCTGTCCAACTACTGTGGTAATCCATACAATGGAAGAAAAAAAATCACTCAACTAAGCAAAAAGAGATAATGGTCCATCATTGGTTAGCTCCCTAAAATGGCCTGAACCTTTGTTAAGGTTCCAACTGCAAGAACTGCCCATGTAGAACCCTGGCCCTAACAAACTGCTGAAATGCTGCAAAGAAACCACTACTGAGAGATACCAAGTGGAGCTACGTCAGTCAAGAAACTTAGAAAATGGACATTGGCTTAATGATTCCAGATATGAGATTTGTGTTGTTATCACAGCAAAAGCAGTCTCCTTTGAAGGAACTGAAATGTAAGATAGACAGGGTAGTGTAGCTATTTTGATTAGTTTATACTGTTTCTCTTGTACTTATTTTAATAGTTTTGATGTTTTCAGTTTTGTCCTACAATTTACAAAACAGTTTTTTTTTTTTTTATCCTTTTAACTAATAGCTGTATGAAGTGTTTACATTCTGACCCAACAAGTTTCCTGTTTGTTACTTGCAAACTGTAACAGTAAGCTGGACCTTAATTGTAAGCAGACGAAAGATGTTGGGGTCTTAAATTTCAGTACATTTTATGCCTACATACAACAAACACATTAACCTCTTTTCACTACTGTAGCTTTAACTGATACCTTAGTCTGACTCACAGTGTCAAATGCAGATATTTCAACGGCACTTTTCTCTTTAGTTAATGTAAATATAGGCCCAAACCACTGTTGGAGAATTTATAAACTTACCCCTCCTGTTACCTTTGGCCTTAGCTGTTCCCCTTCGATAATGTTTGAATGCAACATTGCCAAATGGTGCAGACACACCATCCCAGTGAGAAATACATGGGACACATGTTGAAAATCAGCGGTTTTCCTCTCGTTTGGTTTGGAATGAGTAGGAACTGATGGGTGCTGGTGGTTTCCCTGGGCTAACTGGGCCCGTCCAGCTCCCATCTACTCTAATTTCCTCCAGCAGGAAGGACTGTCAGAACTGACTTCTCCCATCTGAACCCTGATAGAAAACTTCCCTCACACACAAACTCATAGTGACCAACACCACCAAAGACACACAGTACAGTACCAGAACTACCGTAGAAGCGAACACTACGTGCTTTCTACACACTTGAACACATTTTCCATCTGTCCTTTGGCAGTGCTGCTGGGTCCCACCCAAGTTCAGTCCAGCCAGCTGCTTCCTCTCCACTGCCAAACCATCACTGTACTGTGGCTCACATAGATGGACTCACTTAGGCACACACACAATCCTTAAAAATCCAACAGCGGTGGTTTACCACTAACCATTCAGAATGCGTGTCCTCTCTTTGTCTTCCTTCTCCTCCATCTATTCTCTCGTGTTATCAGCCAGCACACTCTGCTTTCCTCTTCTTTCTCACTTCTGCTTATATCTTGTCTTGTCTTTTTTGATTTTCCCTCTTGTATCAGAGATTCTATCTCCCTCTTATCTCTCCTTTTCTTTCTGTTCAGTCTTCCCACAGAGACTTTGTGGCAGCATTGCCAGCTTGACATCTTTCCTATTGGGTTTAAACTCTACAATATGTTTGAGAAATCCATCTAGCCACTTAGTCTGAACACTGGGGAAGCTTAATGTGTTGATGTCCAGGATTTGGCTGTTTGGCGGTCACAGATTTATTTTAAGTTCTTACTTTGTATTAAAAAGAAATATGGTAGCGACCTTCCAAAGAGGTCTCTTCTTCACCCAACACTATTGTAAAAGAAAAGCAAACTAAACATTGAAGATTTTGCAAGAACATAGAATAAAATTATCCAGGTTGAAAACAAAGGCAACAGTAACTCAGTGACACAAAGCCGGGTGTGACTGAATGCAGCTAAACAAACTTTATATTGCTATGAAAAATTCTTTGATCCCCTTCTGATCCATCCTATTTTTGCGTGGTTCTATACTAAACTGTGCCTGATCTTCAAACTAAATTCAGCATTAAACAAAGCCAACCTGAGTAAAACACAAAATACAAGATTTAAATGATAATTGTATGCAGTACTTCAACAGCTGCAGCCAAATGCGTCAAATAACATATCAGTGTCTTTGCTGTGCCACTCTTCTAGGCAGAGCTGCTTCAGAGCAGCTACAGCAAAGGTTTTGCAATATGACCCAGTGTCCTGCCACAGCGAATCAATGAGGTTTTAAAACCATAACCTTCCACCATCATGAAGCTTTGCTCTGCTGGTTGTATTTTTTTTTTTTTGCATAGTTAGAATATTTTGGAGGCAAATATGAATGATAGGGTGACACATATTTTACACCGTCTTTGTTTAGTTTCAAGCTATTTCCTCATCCAGTAAAACTCCTTAACACTGATCTTTACACAATCACATAAAAGGAGATCAGGCAAGATTTGTCCTTTTACAAATGTGCTTCTTTAATGCGCTTTTACTTAATTAGTTGTTAGCAATTGATACCTAATAATCAATTTTGTTTTTTTTCTAACTTTTATCTTCTTGTCATTGTGCTTTTATGCCATTATATTGGATTTATTTGTTATTTTCTCCTGTTGTAAAGCACTTTGTAACTGTTTTCTAAGGTGTTTTACATTATATGATGTTTTGAATGTGAGGGGGGTAATTAGCAGGCTCATTTAAAATACTGTTTATCACTGTGTTGTTCTTTTCCTTCTCCACAGATGTGAATGAGTGTGAGCTGCTCAGCAGTGTGTGTGGAGAGGCCCAGTGTATGAACGTGGATGGTTCCTTCTTCTGTGTGTGTCCCATCGGCCAGGAATACAACGTCATGAACGCCAAGTGTGAGGTCGTTCCCACAGGTAACCCACTGACAGAGAAACTGAAGACACTGCAGTCCACAGCTGGTTTATTTCTATGGCCACTTCTCAGTAATAGTGCAATTCATTTTCTTGTTGCTAAAGAAGACCAGCACACTGTCTAATAACAACAATGGCCCCCCTTTTACAAAACACATTGCGTAAAACTGCCCCAATGAAAGCATAAAGGGATTCCATAATTAAGTCCAGACCTGACTAAGCTGAATGATGCTTCACATTAACAACAAAGTTGTTCTTTTTTTTGTTTTTTTGTTTTTTTCTGGCAGCTTTCCATTGGAAAAAAAGACCAATGATTATAGCATAGTAAAACAATCTTCTACTTGTGTTAACCCCAAAGCGTTTCTCCAGTGTGATATCAGGGAGAACATATGCAGCATTTAGCCGTCCCTGGGAGGTAGTCAGGAAGACAAAGAACTGATGATTCCCAGCCCTTTCTTTTTCGCACAGTTCGTTTTCTGTATTCTGCCACCACCTCCTCCCACTGTACAAAAGTAAAGCCAACATACAAAGCTAACATCAGGCCCTGGTTACATCATTTGCAACCCGTTGAAGCTGTTGTGCCGGAGGGATGAAGGTATGGTATCAAAGTGCCACCTCCTGTCGGCTTAAATGTGCATGCACGCCTCTTGAACTTCATGAAGTTCATTGGTGTAATTTTGATTTTCCTGGATTGTTCTGCACATTCACTCGATTCATGTCACACTCTAGAATGAACTGAGTAGTAGCTGCTAGTTGTCGGCTGCAGATCAACTACTTTTTTTTCCCGTGGATACATTAAGAACTGGATGTCACACTCAAATATGACACCTGTACACTAGAATGTAAATTACTCACCTGGTAAATGTGGCTCATTCACTCATTACAACATTTTGGCTGAAAGTTGTAACTTCTAGGTTCTCTTTCACAGTGTGCAGCCCACTGCACATACTTTTTGTGATGCTGAGGACTTTTGTTGCAGTACTGCAGGTGGTCACTGGGAGGAATCTACAGCAGCGTATCCAACTCTCTTTAAAACATCCATACTTTGCCCCCATTGGTGGGCTTTCTACTAGCTTAGCCCAGTTCCCTGATAAGTGCTGCACACACCCTGGTTGTAAATGACATCACCAGCACAAGATGGTTGCACCCGTTTCCAAGATATTCAGGCTTCCCCTTTGAGGAGCTTTCATGTTGTCCATGTGTATATAAAGTCTATGACAGAGTGTGGGGCACACCCATCTTAAAAAACAAACAGAAGACAAACTTGAAACAAAACATCCACACGATCCCTCCATTTGCTTTGAATTAATAGACAAAATCTCCAAATAGAAATAAACCAGCTCTGCACTGTTACGCTCTAAAGTGCTATTGTGTGCTATGCAGCAGTGGAAACTTTTTCTGTGGCAAAATCTTCATTCCTGTGGCAATCTAAGTTCGAAAAGCCTCACTGGAATCAACTGGACCTGCTATGCTTTCATTCTGCTCTTCTATTCATCTTTCAGCATCGTCAGTGGAGCGGAAGGAGTGCTACTACCATCTGAACGATGAGAACCTGTGTGAGAGTGTGCTGACCAGCCATGTCACACTGCAGGAGTGTTGCTGCACTCTGGGAGCTGGCTGGGGGGACAACTGTGAGGTGCATCCTTGCCCTGTTAATGGGACAGGTAAGTGAAGGGAGGAGGCAAAATCCTAAAGCACAGATACACCCAGTGTTGCTACTAGACACACCTTAGGCTATATTTTAGTAATACAATGTACTGGAAGATTAAAAAATTGTCAAAGCTGTCTGAAAGTCGTTTGATGCACCTGTTGTAAAGACCTATTTTGCCCTTGTAACGACCTTGTATATCTTGGCAGTCTTGAGTTTCCAATGATTGCTATATCTGATGGAGTCAGTGGAATCATTGACACACATACGTCTTTGTCACAACAAAGTTCAACTAAATGTGTTGGCTTTCTGACACAGACTTGTTTCTTTAGCACAGTTCACAGATTCTTGATGGATTTTAAATCAGGACTTTGGGTGGACCAGTCTAACAGCTTAATGTTAGCCTGATTTTGCTGTATGCTTTATGTATATTTTTCACCCTGCAGATTTTGTCATATTTTCAAAAGATCTATAAAAAATCTATGAAAGAACCAAAATGCATGATTGTTTTTTTGTTTGTTTCAATGATCCCATCAAGAAAATCAAGAGTTTGTGAAATCATTAATACTCAAGACTCTTTTTATATACATGGTCGTCACAAGTACATATAAACTTTTGTCGACAGCTGTACAACTGGCTTAACTCAGTGTCCGATCTGGTGTTTCGACTGTATTTATGGACACCTAACCTCCAAACTTCTATGTCTGTTCCCTTTCAGACCAGTTTAACGAGATGTGCCCATCTGGAAGAGGTTTTATTCCCAATGGAGACCTGCTGTATGGAGTGCCTACTTCTGACACATACAAAGGTAAGACTAGTATACATGGCTAACTAACCCAAAGAGATACCAAACACAGATCAAACTGTGTAGAGTTGGTTGAGTCAGTAGTGAGATGCATTCAAGTATATCTAAAGATTTTTAACAAATATTGAATTAATCCTGACTGAATTTCTCTCTGCCTGTTTGCAGATGCAGATGAATGCACACTGTTTGGTCAGGAAGTGTGTAAAGGAGGCTTCTGTCTGAACACTGAGGGAGGCTACGAGTGTTACTGCAAGACTGGACAGGACTACGACCCTGCCAGACTGGAGTGCAGAGGTGTGAGAGATGTTACTGTTACTGATGTTCAAACTATCTGCTGGGTACTGCCTCTATTGACACTCACTAGTAACACATAACAGGAAAAACACAGAGAGCAAATAATATTGTTATGTGGTGATCAGGAATGAGGACCCCAGTGTAGATGCATGTAGCAGGCAGCCGAAAGCAAACTTTAATCAAAAGCTGGAGAATCCAAGTGTAGATAGGTGAACAATTCTACTGTTATGCCCCGGTCTAGGGGAACCTTTGGCACAACATGAATTTTGCTCCACACCAGTCTTTCCACTTCAGAGAAGGTCAGCAATCAGACAAGCCAGGTATCAAAATGAGCAGTTTCTTTTATTTTTACAATAGAGGGGGAACATAGGCCAGAATAACAAACAAAACATACTCTACATTAACCCTGACTTCCCATTCCAGAAAAGAAAAAGCAAATAAAAGATAATAATCTTACCTACCTACCTAATAAACAAAAAACAGGAGAAAAAGGGTTTAAAAGAAAAGGCCTCTCCCTTCTACTCTGCTCTCCATCTACAATATTTACAAAGATTCACAAAAAGACACAGAACCTGTAGCACACGGCTACGGCTACAAGCAAGTTACTGCTGCTGCTGCATCCTCCTGCAGTACAGTCTTGATGGCATGCTGGCATTCTCTGAGGTGGCGAGGCTGGAGGTGAGGAGACCGAGTGCAGCTGGCGGGCTGTTCAAATAGTGGATGGGCCCGCCCTCTGACCAATTGCATGGCTGGAATCAGGCGAGGACAGCCAATCCAGAGTCACCACCTGCTCCTAATCCATTCACTCAAAAACCACACACACACACACACACCCTGAGGAGAGAAACAAGCAGCAAAAACACAAAAACACTATAGATGACCCACAGGGTCATAACATCTACATCCAACAAAAGAAATAGAAAGCATAAGCAGGGAAAAAATCCAACTCATAAACATACACATAAGTCTGCCCTTTATAATTCACTTTAAAGCAAGCTGTCTCAATATTGTCTCACATCTTTTCTTCATCTAATGATCATGTCCTGCAACCGTGCACAGGACAAGTGGGTGCAGAAAATGGATGATAGTTAACATGCAGTCTTTATGATAAGGCCACTCCAGGTAAAATGAAAGATATTTGAGGCATTTTATACAAAAAAGTAGCAAAAGAAAACCGAGCAGTGAGCACAGCCCGTTGGAGTTGTGGCTCTGGGCTCAGCTCTTTTTAATCAGACCAATTCTAACTGGCCTGAACAGTTCAAAAATCAGTGCAGACGTGAGTCTGTGATTGAGAATTGATGGATATTTTTGAGGGACTTGAGCTGGAAACCTTGTAGTTAGCTTTTAGGTAAGTCTGCAAGAAAGAAGTAGAAAGAACACATTTCCTTGTGGCATTTGTTTCTCCAAAATTTAAGTCTTTATGATTCAATGACACAGTCTTCCCTCAGCAGACATAAACATACAAATTCTTGTAAGTACAATACAAAAAGTGTTTATCAGCTGGTATTTCACTGTGCACTAGCACTGTTCTCAGAAATATAAGGCTGTTTTTGCTGGATCCAGTATTTGTGTGGGAATAGGAGCTGAGTTAGTTTATCAAGATGAGTTTTTAGAGTGAACGCACGGTTCCAAGTTAATCTTGCATGAAGTCCTCTGACTAAGTTGTGTTGTTTTTCCATGGAATATTTTCTTGCCTTTCTCTCTTGTAGACATCGATGAGTGTCTTGATGAGTCGGTGTGTGTTGGCGGTCAGTGTATGAACACAGATGGTTCATACATGTGTTTCTGTACACATCCGATGGTGTTGGATCCCAGCGTTAATCGCTGTGTCATCGTTCCTGATGTGGCCGGTAAGTTCATTTCAACCATTAAGGGGCTGCATTGTTCAAAAGTCACCCCCAGGTAAGTTATACCATTTGCCAAATAAACAAATTCTTCCAGTGCTCATGATATGTTCATGTCGGTTTTATCAAGTCTTAGCAATATTTTCTCTGTTCCACCACCAACATAACCACAGGGTCCTCTGGCGTCTCAGTTATTTTTGCGACACTCCCTGCACCATATAATATATACACTGTAAATTTCTTGGTTTGGGTTCATACACTATCTACTGTGTGAGGAAATGCATAAAATCTAAATATATTTTTATACTTTTAAGGAGAGCCATCAGTACTACCAACTAAGAACCAGATCAGGATAATGAACTAGCTTATGATACACCATTTTGTGTGGGTGATAACACTGTGTGTGTGTTTCCAGAGCAACATGAGACAAAGCAGATCGAATTTCTGGGTATCTGCTGGCAGACGTTGACAGATACCCTGACGTGCACTCGGCCGATGGGTAACAACAGGAAGACCACCTACACAGAGTGCTGCTGTCTGTACGGAGAGGCCTGGGGCATGGACTGTGCCCTGTGTCCCCCCAGGAACACCGGTACACACCACACACACACTGCTCTAACTCTGTAGACTAAATTCAGATAGACAATACAGTATGTTAGTGAATTTCACATTACATGGTCCCATTTATGCTTAATGAGGAGCATCTGCAGCAATGACACACTCATGTAAACCTGCTGTTGAATATTTGAGGCATCAAGAAGTCTACTGGACAACTTTCACTACATATTATGCTTCTTTGTTTCATTGCTGTCGTCACAAGCTGAAAGTTGGTTCACTGAGTTTTATGCTGTTTTCTCTGTAGCCCAGAGATAAGTATGAGGAAGCAATCGAAAAACAGCAGCCAGGTGATTTCCAGCAAACAAAACATTTGTCCTTGAACCTACCAGACGTCAGTCTGTCTTTTGCCGATATGTTGGATTGTGGTAACGGAGACTTTTGTATACATTTGAAATAAAATTGCAGGTTTAACTGAGGTATGAGATTAAAAATAGTTTTGTTTACTTGCAAAAAGTTGACTGCGGAGCTTCAGAATTTGCTAATAATAAAATGAAATTTAAACACCACAAATAATTATTGTCATAACCTTTTCATATGTGATGCAAATGAGCTTTTATTTTTTATGACAGCATTTTGACATCATCCAGTCATCCATCATACTGTTGAATGAAAGTGATATTGCATGTGATTGGCTGAAATGCACCAGTTATAGGACACCACTGTACAATGTCTCTACTGTTCTGGTATTGTTTGTCGGGATAGACATGGAGGGTGCAGTGCTCTGGATGGTGGTTGTTCTTCATTTTCACCTCTTAATGTGAGCTAATGTACATGGTATTGAATCCTTAACAGTTTATTGTCATCCTACTTTAAAATTTAAAAATAGCAAATAATATTTACATTTTATTCATGAATGGGTCTCAATGATTCCATCATAGAGAATTCAGTCATAGGAGTCACTGTAAACTCAAGTCTGCCGTGATGCACATGGTCTTTACAAGTGTGTGTAAACGTTTGTTTACAACTGTATGTGATCCTGTATCTCTAATGGAAAAAGCACAACCGTGGCTAGAAGTAGAGAGGACTTCAAAATGTCTTTAGCACAGTATGACACTGTTATATTGGAATAAATCATAAAAAGAAAAAAACTACAATTTAATCTTTGTGATGATTTAATAATTATTATTAAATTACAAATACTTATATTATTTCTAATATTTGGAAACTGGAAAAAAATTGAGTCAACAAGTACAACTTTGTTCAAAGTGCCTACAGATTTTACCAATAGTGGTGAAAAGAATCACTCTAAATTCTATCGATATTTCACTACTAGCATTTTTAATGTGTTCCCATGCTTGTCTCCTCTTTGCTCTGTGGAAACCTAGTCTGCAGTTCAGATTGATTTTGTCACAGGCCTGTTGATCATAGCTGAGTCAGTCATGGCTTCTTAAATGCACTGAGAGGCACAGAGTTTTTAATTTTTTACCAAAATCTGGTGTAAATGGCTTATATTTGGCAAAGTTTTAAGTGAGACGTGGACTAAAATGAAATGAAATGAAATGAAATGAAAATGAAATGAAATGAAATGAAAATGAAATGAAATGAAATGAAAAATACTTTATTTATCCCAGAAGGGAAATTCAATCTTGTAAAAGCTCACTTTTATTTTTATTTTTTTTAAATCAATATAACATATATTATATAAATGAATTTGAGGAAATAATTTTAAGCTTAGATTTGGTTCAAAGCTTAGATGTTTTCCACAAAAACAGCATGTTGGAGATGAGTGATACAGTAATACAGGTTTTGGCTCTGATAAATGCTGCAATTTCCACAATTCTTTAAAGACATTGTCTTTCAAACCCACCCGTAGGTTTTGGGGCTCAGATGGTCAATAATTAGTTTCTTATATCTTAACTTTTACAACACATGGCAGCTCCTGACATTCCTTGTTCATTTATATCTTTTCTCCCTCTCTGTGTCCCTCATTGTCTCTCTGTTTCTTGCTTTCAGACGACTATGCATCCATGTGTAATCTTCCCCCGGGTGGCGAGCGGCGGCCATACGGTCGTGACGCTCTTGTTGCCAGTCCGGTCCATGAATATGAAGTGAGCCCTGACTATTCACCATCACCAGAGCAGCCTGTTCTGCCCTTTTATGAAAATGAAGAGCGTAAGTATTTCTGTATTTTTCCTCCTTTGTATTAAAAAGGGACTAGCAGAGAAGCACACTTGTTTTTTTTTAAAGTTGTAGACTTTTAATCGCATCTTTCCGAGCGAGGACCACACTGTCAATGAGATGTACATGATTGTTTATTGAATGAAAGTAAAAGTGTGATGTTGATTAGAGGTAAGGTAAGCAGCTGTGGTGTGTGGAAGGCTCTTTTGAGAATCAACGGCAACTCTCCAGCTGGTAGATCCCCAGAGAGTCCCCCCAAAAATGGAGAAAAGACCGCTGTAGCAGATAGAAAAGCTAGTTAGCTTCACTGTGAGGTTGAACCACCCCGACTGCAGGCTTTCAAAGCTGCTCCAAAGCTGCAGGTGTTGTAGGAAAACAAGACGGAGGTCCCAGACAAGATATGAACAAATCAACGTGTGAGAGGAATGAGGACTGGGTGACAGGCCTACCAGACTCTGTGGTGAATAGAGCATCAGAAGTGAAAGCACCCAGACATCCTCTGTTTGCTATGTAACCATGAATGTGCAGACGACTGCCTCTGGATCAGTTTTAAACCCAAAACTCTGATGATTCCTGAATCACTGTGTAACATGCACTACCTGATAAGAAGGTTGAGGAAAAACACTCTTAAATTGGGTTTATGAATGGACCAGTAGGTTGTACTGCTGGAGCTCGATGAAGTGTTTGAAAGAGACTCAGAGAAAGAGTATAGATTTTGAACATATGCGGGCTTTAGTAAAAACTAAAATACATTTAACAAAAATACTTTACTGTGCAATTTAATTATTACCACCTTAAATTTGGCCAGTAGAAATAGATCTGTCTATAGAGTTTATCTACTCAGGTGCCCCTGATAACCTTATTGCTCGAATAGAAAAAATAAAAAATAAATACCTGCTGCTTCTCTCAGGCAAGTCTTACATTTCTATAGAACATATTATTTATTTGCTAATGAGGACTTTCTGAGGAAGCGTTCGTATCAATATGTGTCTCACATCTGTACATTCAGATCTGAGTTATGGCTTAGTATGAAACTAGAAGTAAAAAGTGAAAAGTACTGAGAGTGTTAAAACAACTGTAAACTACACACTTGTCCTTGGTCTCACTCTCTCCCTCCTTCAGTTTGAAAGCCTGCTCTCTACTCTAGACTGCTGCCACATGTCCTGGAGTAGTGTTTTATCTCATTTAAGTCCTATTAATGTGACAAACATGTAGATGCTGGTATGACACACTGTGTTTTTGTGCCTCAGATCCATACAAGGCATTCGAGGGTTTGCGAGCAGAGGAGTGTGGGATACTGAACGGCTGTGAGAACGGTCGGTGTGTCCGGGTTCAGGAGGGTTACACCTGCGACTGCTTTGATGGATACACCCTGGATCTGTCCCGCATGGCCTGCGTCGGTATGAGAACACACACACACTACTAAAGAGAAGGAAAACTGTATAAACTTTACATATCTTGCTACAGCTCAATCCTTGTCTTCTTTGTTCACAGATGTGAATGAGTGTTCAGAACTGAACAACCGGATGTCACTGTGTAAAAATGCAAAGTGCATCAACACAGTGGGCTCCTATCAGTGTGAGTGTCTGCCAGGCTACAAGGCCTCAGACAAACCCAACTACTGTGTGGAGGCAGAAACACAGCAAACATCCAAACGCACACAGTGAGCATGGATGGACACTGGGGGGCGACAAGAGACACCAAAACCACACGCACAAGCCTGTATTACTATACTTGTGAGGATGTCCACTGACTGCACTTTGTCACTGCCAGATCCTCAGCAGCAACGCTAAAGCTGGACTCCCTGCTGTGGTTGTAGCATCCGGTAGCACAACAAAAACTCTTCACAGCTGATCATCAACAGTGATCCAGAAGTCAGGGTGTGTACCTTTGACTTGACATTTTTTGCCCAAAATCTAAATTCAGCAAAATGAAAATTAATCTACTCTTGCTTGCAATGTTACTCCATTGTTTAAAAAGTCATCCAAATCCTTAACTGCTCTTAACTACTGTCAATTTCACTTATTTCTGCTTCACATCACTGTGGATTGTTTACAGCACTCACTGATTATCCTTTGTTCATTTGAGAGGTTCTCCAAAGTGGATATTTTTAAATAAATCCTTCCTAAATTTTTGAAAGCAGAACTATAAATGTAGGGCTTAATATTGTAGGAAACATAAAATGTTTTGTTTTGTTTTTTTAAATGAATTTTTACCAACATTGTCACTATCTAACTATGTCGAACTGGTCTTTTAGCTACAATGGGTATACCTGACACAAAAATTGATCCTAATGGTTTATTGAAAAGTCAGTTGGTTTAGCTTAGAAGAGCATTTACTCTTCCTGTGTTGCGTTTCTGCACATTGAAGCAGACTGTTAGCACTCCCTGAATATTAGTGAGTCCATCAAGTTTGTTGTTTGAACCTCCTCTGACTTTCAAATACCACTGCAGTATTGTTGAAGGGAGTCATCATTGTTGTTTGAGCTGAGCTACGATCTATAAAACATAAAGCATTGCATTCTGGGAATATCATTGATGCATTACAAGAGCTGAGTAGTGGACTCCAAGATGGCACCCATTCAGTTACATGGTTATTGCCAGAGAAGTTTTCTAGTGTCCTTGTGTACACAAGATTCCCTTTTCTTTGCTGTTGGACAGTTTAACAACCTAACTGATTTAAAAAAAAAAAAAAAAAAACTTTAGACCTTTCCTGCAAATTTGCTTTTCAAATATGTCTGTTGTGACTCTGTGGTTCATGTAAACTTTCCACCTCCATTGTAGAGATTTGGGCAAATGAAATCAAAGCATCATATAAGCAGTGTATGTTGGTGCAAAAATCATGAGCTACCTGCAGTTTACCAAAAACCTGATTTCTGCATTAATCTTCTTAAATGCTCTCAGTAAACAAAAAATTGTCACCCAGACCAGCTATTCTGCTCACTGAATGAGGGATCTCCAGCTTGCCAACTGACCCATTCACTGGTACATGTGGATGAATGGATGCAGCCATTTTAATTTGTGTTTCCACAGCAGGGCCTTTGCCCCAGAAGATTAAGAAATGTGTGTGACAGTTCTGTGGAAAATGCATACTTGACCAATCAGTGACTTTTAACACTATTACAAACTCCACCGCAAAAGTTCCTGAACATGTAGATAGCATCCCTCTCTGGTGCATTCAGTTACCGTTACAGTAAAAGCTGTCAGATCCTACACCACAATGGAAACAGATTCCTGACTCCTGTGGAACGTTCCTGCAGTGGAAACACAAAATAGTGGAAGGTAAATGTAGAGCAGTAGATAGTGAATGACCAGATATTCACACACATCCAGTGAGTCTTCAGCCAAATCCACTGATGGTGCTATATGATACAATGTTCTTACAGTTCACCCTGAGAAGAACATGAAGATTTGATTGGAGACACTCAAAACCACTCAAAAAGTGTGAACCTCATAGTGGTGCTAAAGGAAAAGTCAGGGGATCACTAGCTTTGCATAGCCAGACCTGTATCCACACTGCTGATCTGGCTGTATCTCATTCTAGTTATGGTGTAGGGGCAAAATGCTCTGGCTTGTTTCTGTTATTTAGAAAAATCAAATAGCCTGGGCAGTGCTAAGCCCCAGATGCGACTGCAAAATAGTGACATGAAATGTTTCGGTGGAACATTTACTTGCTGGGATGAAAGTTCTGTCATTAAAATGGGTCGTTCACACAAAATGAGCAGACCTGCCTTACGACACCATCCAAAATAAAAAATTTGATCATGTAGGTTGCTGCTTTGAGGTTGTTTTTTGCAGTAGAGGAGATTTTGAAAATAGTAGCATACAGAGACAGAAGTGGAGAAGGAAGCCATGTGAAATGAGCAAAGGAAATGGCAGACTTTTACCCAAAGTCCTCATTCTGTGAGTCAGACTCGGGGATCACCAAAGTCAGCAGGAACATAATCTGGAGAAAATTCATCTCTCAATAAAATTTTGTAGTAATTTATTCTATAGCTAAGATATTTCCAAAGTGAGCTGGACCAAAGTAGGGCTGACCAACCAATACTTGCATCGTTAGAGCACTACTGCTAGCATAGTAACACATTTGGGTATCGCTGCTTTAAAGAGTCCTTAGGAAACTTACACCAATATATTTATTATGCTGCCAGAGTTATTAATCTGTAATTTCTCCATGTGTATGATGTATTGTCAAAATGAATAATCCTGTTGGAAATCTTTCATCTGATGGAGATCCAGGTGAGTCATTTTAAATCAGGCTCTGAATTATTAGCATTAAGAGGATGATAAATGCTGAGTTGAGCCCCAACAGCTCTGACAACCTGAAAGAAGTGCAGATCAGCTGGTATGTCTTTAACAAAACTGTTTTGATCCCCGAGAGGACACGTGGTCCTTAAAAGTATAGAAATACAGAACACACAGACACAAGCGCACACACACACGCACACACACACACACACACACACACTTACTTAATCAAAGCCCATATATTCTGCACTGTATAAGAAACACACTAAATGAACAAACAGTAATTTACTTGAGATGAAGATTCAGCTTAATCTACTATGTGGTGCCTATGTGGGGAATAGAAACAATTGTATAAAATGTATGTTTTGTTTGTTGCTTTTCTAAGTTTCTTTGTCATTATGTTTTCAAGTGGAGTTTTATTTGTGTCATAAGAGGCCGTTTTTGCTCATTTAACGAATTGACAAACCCTATGGACTCGTGCTGGGGGATCCAGTTGTATTTTGAACCCAGTCAAACTGATTGTGGATATTTAATTCTGTGAAGAGGCCAGCTGTCTGCTCCCTCACCTCCTCCATCGCCATCCCTCTGTCGTTTCTACACCACATCATCACCATATCATGTAATATGCACATTTCATTGTACTAAAGAAAAATGCTAATGTTAGGTTTTCAGAATAAGCTTTTATTGGGGTTTTGTCTTTGTTCTGTCAGAGTGGTCAATCAGACAACTACTGGATGAATGGAGCATAAGACAAAGCCAAGCTTCATGTTTCTTATAAAGAGCTAAAAGACTGTTGTGTTATCTGGTATTCCTCCCCTCCATGTTTTGAAGGGACTGAAATGAATTGTTTTATTTTTCCTACTTCTCTTATCTGTGTTTCACTGCAAAGTCTTGCCAGGTTGCAAAGCTGCTATGGGACAGCGATGGGAGAGAAGAACCTTGTGTACATTTAAACAAAGGAGTGGAGAAAACAGCTGATGTATTTGTAATTTGTACATGAATAAATAGCTTTTTCTATGAATTCATATCACAATGTACATTAAACCCCTTGGTAATAAACCACAAATTGTGATATTTAACTTCAACTGCTTGTCTGTTTTTCTGCTACTGACTGTCTGCCCTCCGACTCTGGTCTTATCTGAGGGCTCTGCAAGGGCGGCAGCAGCATTTTCAGTAAGGTACGTTTGTAGTTTAAAGGCAAATTTATTTAACGTAAACATTAAATATAATGTAAGTGCACAACAGTCGGTGCACAATATTTGAAAAAATAAGTTGTTTGCTCAGTAATTCTGTAATGTATACATAAAGAGCGCTGTAATCCAGCCTTGCTCCCACTTTTCTGTTTAGTGGTCACTTGCTGTTTAAAGTGTCCACCCATAGCCCAGCGAGTATTTTCACATGAACTACTATAAAATAACACCTCCAACTCCAAACCAGTACTGGTATCAAGTTCTCAACAATACACCCATGGGGCTACTGGATGTTCAAGGGGATACTTTGTACATTTGGGCACAGACAGGCCTCCCCTTAGGATTGATGAACAGGGGGACAAATTGACCACTAGCCTTTGCATGGGCCCCCCTTGCCCTTGAACCGGTATCATATGGAGCCTTTGACCCCCTTTGATGGCAGGCCTGGTAGGAGGTGGGACCATGTCAGCATTAGAAGATGGCAGCGCTCATTTCCACCATATTGTGACTTCTCCGTTGCACAGTGCATGGACGTGACCTTGTTGTCTTCAGTGGTGGCTAAAGTCACGCTACCCAATTGTATTTTTCCTTAAAGTGTGACTGTGTTATGTGTTGTGTTTCATGACATTTAGGAACCTTTAGAAAGATGCCAGTCAAGCGTCTTTGTGCCCACTGTTGCTGTTTTCATTGTCAGTGGCTTGTAGTTAAGCCAAACTCCAGACAAGAGCCGTCAAGTCTACATCACACTGAGCATCATCCCAGGAAAACCGGTCAGAAAGATTTTTCACATCATTGTACAATTAAATTATGGAATCATTCTTAGGTCCTAAATACAGGTGTCTATCCGATATCATTCTTATTAATTTAGTCAATTATGGTCCCATTTAGAGAAAAATAGAAAAGCAGGATATGTTTTATATTAGTTTACTTGTGATTGACAAGTAGTTACTATGAGTGCATGCTCAGTGTCCTGGTGTTCTCAGTAAAACTCACTTCTTATCTCCAGTTTTGAAGCCCAGATGGCCAGGGCCACATGCCAAACACAAGGTTTAAAAAAGGCTGAAACCACCAGGTGACATCAAGATGGCTACATTCACTTCTTTCATACAGCCGATGGTTTATTACCGTTTTTTCTCAGTTGTGATATAACATTGAGCTTTTTTGTAATCTGTGGTAGAACAGCTCAAATGACCAGATATTGGAGCAGCAAAATATTTTTTTTTTTGCTTTCTGAAATGGGAGGTAGTTGAACTAATTGTAACCAATCTTTCTTACCAGGTAACCTTAACCTCAGTTTGGTGTTTTGAACTTCTGTCTTCTAGTTCTTAAAAAAAATTTAAATTAAATTTTTTTAAAAAACATCCACAAAATGAAATGATATAATATTACATGATCAAGAAGTGTGATTCTGGCTTTAACTCAGTTTTGACCAAATGTAGTGTTTTAGCCTTAAAGGAGAGAACTGTTGAATGAGTGACCTAAGAACATGTTCTCTGTGCCTGTGGATTCGAGTCGGTCTTCTCCTCCCCTCCGTCTCTATCTGCAACAAGGCTACTCAGTGATATTTGCAGAGCTGTCCTGCACACCAACCTTTGTTTCCAGTAAACCCAGAATCTATTTATAGACTGTGTGTGAAAAAGGCAGGGAGGGTGTTTGTGGGAGTTATTGGGCAGACAGAGTTAACCTGCAGCACTTCAGCTTTTTCTGTACCATTGGTTATTCTGATGAGCGCTGATAATATGGGATCATGACTTATGTGGCAGAGGCCACCTGGTATGGATGTGTACCTGGATCACAGTAAGGTAGGTGTGTCCTTTAATGGTGGCGTCTCACAAGAATAGGAATTGATGTTGGTTGTAAACTCCAGACTTACTGATATTCAGCTATAGATTACAAAACATGTCTTTAGATGAGAAGTAAAGGAATGATTCTGCTTCAAAGCATGTGATGATGTGGGCTATGAGTAATGTCATTTCAGTTATTGGTGTGTTTCTGCACTACGCTTCCCAGCAATCAGTGGTCACACTGTATTTTATACATTGATGTAGTTTGTCTCTGTTTGATGAGGCATATACTGACAAAAACAGCATCACTGTAAGTTTAGCGCTGAAGCAAAAGATGTAACCTGACAGGTGATTGTTAACTTGAAAACAGTTCAGTTTGTACAAACATGATGCTGCTGACTGTTGCATGGTTTTATGTATTTTAAACTTACATATTCTAAGCTGTTGTTACGGTGTTCTGCTGTCACGTAAACTGTCTTGAAAAGATTTAAAGGGCCCCTCTGATGAAAATTAAGTTGGATTTGTTGAGGTTTTACCGAGTTAACTTGACCATATAGTGTTTTTATATGCTACAAGACACATCACAAGTAAAAATAAGCAGTCAGAGCCATGGCTGAGTAGTTCCACTTTGAAACTGCAGTGTTCTTATGACAATGTCAGAAACATAGATTCAGATTACAAAACAAACCTAAAGAACCAATCCTATTAACTTCTGTGTTCTTCTTCTTCTTCAGAATTGCTCTCGCTCTCTAACATGTTTATCTGATATACTCCAATATTACAACTTGCCAATCTGCACGTTCTAAATGAAGCAACGGTACACTTCCATCTAAGATATTTTAAGTCAAGAAGGGATTATCTTCATGGGAAAAAAAATTGAAATCTGAAACCTTAATACAAAGAGATGAGTTTTTAGGGAGGGAATCAGTAAAGACAGAGATTTCAAAGCTCCATTAAGGTTAAACTTGCAGGTTGAATTTTGTACAAAATACATAATTATTAGTTCCTGGAAATTATTGTTTGAAAAGTTATTGCATGATTGATTACTCACCAAGGCATGTACCCAGTTCTTCGCTGGTTAATTTCTAATTCATTTATCCCAATCCTTGTCTGTTCCTGGTATTTTTGCCATCAGGCAGGCACATAGTTATAAATCTGTGGTCTGCCACATGTGTTGATTTTTAAATTCTTCAGTATCAAAACTATTGGTATGATTATGACATTTCTTACTGTTAAACTGGAACTAACTTGCTGCTCTCTCTTTTCTGACATTACAATCAAGCAGTTTTTGTTGTTGTTGTTGTTGTTGTGTTGTTGTTGTTTTGTTCTTTTTTTGGGGATAGATACTATTCATCACACTCAGCATTTACTCTACTTGTCATTACAATGTACATATAATATATACGTACTTTTTCAGAGATCTGCTTCATTTTCCTGCACATTAATTCAACAAGGTCACCAACCTGCAGGTTGATGTTTAAGTTGTTCATTTCATTCCAACCCTGAATCAGAGTCACACATATTTAAAGTCTTATTTTTTTCAACTGTTTCGATCTGGAAGTGTTTCACAGCCTTGCAGGTAGGTGGAAAAGGCAGGTGGCTGTCTACACCCTCCCCAGGCTAACAGAGTGAGCAGGGACAAGGACTTTTGGCCTTTAAGTCTCCTCTCGTGACCTTTGCATGAACTATATCTGCATTGAGTGTGTATTGGGCTGAGAGCGCTGCCAAAACACTGGTGGTGCACAGCAGCACTGAGGCTGAACACTCAGTATAGACACTGACAGTGGAGCTGCTCAGACATGTTTCTTCATCTGGTCATGTAAATGAACAGAGGCAGAGTGGTTTATATTACATTTGTTAGTGTTTTTAATCTACATCACAGTTTGTACAACAGGTTCTTGTTTAGACTGCATATCAAGGCCAATTGGATCACTTTTCTACTGCCTTTTTGTGTTAGTGGGCCTTTAAGCAGAGATGACTTTGTCACAGATGAGTATAATCAGCCGAGGCCAGTTCAGCTGGTCATCTAAGGCGCTGCTGTCTTAGTGATACTGTAGACTGACTGTGGATCCAAGTTTGAACTCCTAAGTACACAGGTCTCTTATGAAAAAGACCTGCTATATTTGTGTGTACCTGCTAAAGCCATACTGTAGAAAATCTGTTTTATGCTAAATGTCAGATATTTTAATAAACTAGAGGATATTGGTTATTAATCTATTTATGTGTATGAATGAGGAACTGGTACAGTTCGCTCTTGTCCCTACTGTTTACATGTGAGTATAATGAAAGAAGAAAACAGAGCATAGAGAAGAGAGTAAATGACAACTGGACATTTTGGATGAAGAGAGAAATAAATAAATTATATTCCGAGTATTTTGTATTACTGGGTACCTGCAAGGTGTAGGACTGGAAATAAAGCTGAAGACTGGAAACACGCAACCACATACCTGAATGTTAAAGAGGAATATAAAATGTTGTGTCACTTATTTCCCATGATTGCAATGTGTAAAAGAAGGGAGGTCAGTTGACAGCTGCACTCCTGCTGAGACTCATTATCATGACTTTTACTTCACAACATGATTTGTGGTTTCCTGTATGATGCAGAATCAAAAACTTTGAGAAATTGGTCTTTAAATTGTAGCAAGCCTGTTATTCCTGCATTCCAGCAGAAAACAAACTCACCTTTCTCAAATGTACAGCTGGAAGACTTTTTATAAAAAAAAATACAATATAAAAAAGTCACCTAATGCTCAGTCATACAGCTGAAAGATGGCTAATCTTGAACGTTGAATGAGGGAACTAGATTATGTTTATTCTTTTAGTCTCACAGTTATAAAATGTACTCTGCTGTCCCATTATCACTCTTTACTTTTCATACTTTGACATTTCATTCACAGCATTTAGGAAAGCATCCTTGAAACACTGCATATAACAGAATGCTGGGAATGTGGGATAATATGTGAGTCATGTGGTCACGTATTGTTAAACAAACCAAAAACTTACATTTGACCTAATTTTCCGAGACCACTGTTGGATATTTGACCTCAGTAACTTCAGGAGTGTCCACTACAACAGCAAATAAGTCCCAGCTATGTCCTGCACTTTTTATTA